TGCTGTGGAAATGAAATGTGGGCCTAGTGTCGTATAGTTGAACAAATATGAGTCTAGTGCCGTGTACTATTAAATGTGGGCTATGTGCCGTATATTGAAATGTGTGTGATTGGGGCGTAGTAGCGCTGCTGTAATGTGCTATGAATGGTTCAGCGATACACTGGGGATGTGAGAGATGAGGACAATAGAAATACCTTGGGGAAGAGGGAGTGGTGGTGACACCGACTGCGGAACGGGTGCACCACGGGCCACACACTCTCTTCTTGACTAGACCTCTGACTACCATCTTTACTAAGCGACTTGTGATTGCCCACGTGGTATCCGTGAGGCGGGGGTAACCGGCGACCATTCATGGTGTAAATCTGTGATCACAGTAATACAGTGAATGTGACTGACGTGCGTATGCATAGATTTATGAAATATACTTGTAGATGTAAAATGTTGCTTGTGATTGTGTTGTTTAATGTATTAGAATGTTCTAGAGGTGAGACTCTACGTTTATTGTGTGTTTTGGGTAGTGTAGAGTACTTACCCTTACATTCATTTTTCAGCTAATTAAGACGATAAGCACTGGACTCAGTGAAAGGAGCAGATGGAACTGCTATGAGACTAGGATTTTAATCTGAAACTAATGTATTTGAATAGGTCCTATAGTAGTGACTTGATAGAGATTGTAACCCTTTTCCTTATTTTAAAATATTTGATGAAACCAAGGGTTGAGAACCTTATTTGAAATGAAATTTGTTTTATTCCGAATTTGTGAAATTATGATTTATTGAAATTAAATATAAGGTGTTACAACATTATTGTGTCTATCGCTTTTCTGCACTTACTATAAACTATATTGTATTGTTATTCTGCACTTTTTACATTTGCTGCAAACTATATTGTTTATGTTAATTGTATAATAAATTATTTAATACTTTTCTTGAATTGTTAGATGTTAGAGGAAATATTAAAATTAATTCAAGAACTATTGAGAGTACAAGAGAAACAAAAAAGAGAAAATTAGTGCTAAATACAACAAAGTGATAAAGACATAGTAAAAAGTATACTTTTGAGGGGATTATATCGTAGGATTGATGAAAATTGTTATAATCAATTATATCTTACTAAACAAACTTTTTTTTAGCTTTGTAACATTTTATGTGAAAGAGAAAGATTACATGATACTTATTATGTAAGCGTAGAAGAATTTGTTGCAATGTTTTTACTTATTTTAACTTATGATCTCAAAATTAAAGTTCTTGGAAGCACTTATACTCAATTGATATTTTCAATTTTGAGAATTAAATTATATTTACGAGCATTCGTATGCTTCATCTAATTTATGAAAAAGATAATTCATAACATAAAATTTTAATGATAAGCTAAACATAACAAATAAATTTAATGTGTCATAATTTTTGAAAAAGAAATATTAAGTTATCATCTTTAACAATTTATTTAATAATAATTTTATATTTTTAATTAACACATTATTTTTGAAAAAATTATTAAATAAAATTTTAATGCAAAATTAAATTATTTAAAAAAAATTTATATCTTACATCACACTATATAATTTGATTTCAACTTACAATTCTAATTCTACATTCTAATTATTTGAATATGCTAAATGTAAAATTGTAATTCTGAATAAAATTGGAATTGGAATTATAATTTTGAATGTCAATTCTGATTCTATGCACCAAACGGGCCCTTATATTCTTCTCTTCTACACTAAATGTTACCATATCTATTTTATATTCGAGCAATGAATTAATATTGAGGCCAAAGATATTCAAAGAAATTAACCAAAATTCTCCAATATTTTAGGTGAATCAAATTAAAAATGTATTATAGTTCAACAACTCAAAAATACCTCACAATCATTAAACAAGTATCTCAATATACAATAATTATGTTAAATTACTCATTTTAAACTTAAAAGCTAAATTTTCAATTGTGAAATCAAGTTCTATATCAATCTTCATTAGTTAAACAAGAGAAAGCATTAAACTTGGAGTAATCAAATTAAATTGCAAGAGAACAAGTAAATAAGAATGAAATTTTATTAATAATATAACAGAGATAAATAGAAATTCATCCTATCTTAATCTAAAAGAAATTAGCTACACATATATATAGAAAACATAACAAAAATAAAAGAAATAATAAAATTTCATAGATAATTTTGAAAAATACAAAAAAGTATTCAACTCCTTTAGAAAGAAAGTAAACATGAGAGAAGAGAAAGAGAGATAAAATTTCTAAATTCCATATTAGAAAGTTAGAAAACTTAAAAAATGAGCCTCTTTGTGAAAAATGGCCCCTATGACACATTTATAAATTTTTGAGTCATGTGCTACAACAGGCGTTAAGACATTTGAAAACCTTTACTCAGCTTTCCTAAGGTGTACGCTAAAGTTTAGACGCTCAAGACTGTGTTGGAATATACACAACTCAAGCCTTGGATGTTGGAACACTCCACAATGGTTCTTTTATGTTAAATAAGTGTTGAAATGTCCACACCTAGTGTTAGAATGCTTAGTTGCTTTTTGAAGTATTGCTGATATGTGAGCATTAGAATGTCTAACATTAGCTTTTCAATTCTTGAACTTTGTATTTGTTAACTTCTTTCAAACATTTCTCTATTCCAAATGGTCTTATAAACAATAAAAAGCATAAATTAGTTCATATATCCTATAATGTACTTAAAAAGCAAAAATACTTAACAAATTGGATAAAAAAATTCACTTATTGATTCTTTTATAATTTATACAATTTAATTGAATTTTAATAAATAAACCTCTAAAATGTAGTAAAATAAGACTAAATAATAGCTCATCACACTCCCAAACTTGACTTTTTCTATCCTCAAGCGTAATCAATATTTCAAAATAGTAATGAAGGCAAGATTAATGCATTCTATATTTACTAGACAAAAGAAAAAACTCAAAAAAAAAAAAAAAAAACATCTCTAAATCTTGATCAAATCATGAAACACTTTAGAAAATTATATCTTAAAAGACTTTCAAATTTGCCGATAAATTAAGCCCAATTGCATCAAGAAATTTTAAAGCATAAAATAATTCAATAAGAGGAAATTCAGTTGTAATTCATAACTTACTCAAGGATTGTGTGTATCACTTATCTCATGTTTAGAGTTTAAGTCTTTCATTCAAATCACTAATCTGCAATATATAACTATAAATTTACAAATATTCTATTAACCACTGTATGCATATAAAAATAAATCAAAAGGTCTTTATAAGGGTTATAATAAGCTAAGGCTATAAAAAGTAGGAAATAAATTTGGACTCTATCTCGTAATCTAAGTTAGAGATTTCCTAAAAAATCTTTTTAACTTAGACTAAGTTCTTTTTCTTTTCAGTTGCATTTCAGGGGAACTTTTGTAGATTTCTTTACAGTTTTTCTCAGCATTTTGCCTTTGGATTTCTCTTCAGACTTGGCTTATTACACAACTATTTTTATTTTTGCTACAGAATTTTGCTTTATTTCCCTTTTTCTTTTCTATTTTGAGTACCAAAACTTTACAATTTACAACTGAAAATTATGCAAAACTTTACATCCAAAATATAATTTTTCAAAGTAAAATGAAGGTAATAAAATAAAATAAAATCCTAAGCTAGTGAGCTTGGTCAAAATCTTCATCTTCATTCAACTTGATGGCCCTATCTCTGGTCATCAACCTTCTCAGTGTTCCAAGATCCGTCCAAGGCATGCCAATGCTCTTATTGTAAAATTAACCTATAATCCCAACAATAACATTAGAAGTAATTGGTATGAGATGCACTGAATCCATGTTAATGAACTCGAAGAGAGTAGAATTATTGTAAACTCAATAATTAAGGAGAGAAATAAAGTAAGAGAGAAAAATAAATTAATAATTTGTTACTTTGCTGTGAGATATTTATTGAGAGGAATTAATAGTTTGTTACCAGATATTTACTTAAATTCAAATATTTCTCAAAATCTTCTCTCAACAAACTTTTAACAAAATAAATAACATAATAAAATAAAATAAAGCAAATTTAACATTTATAAAAATTTTAAAATATATTAAAAAATGCACAACAATCCTCATATATTTCAAGAGATTTAAATAAAACATTTAAAAATATTTCAAGAATATTTTCATTAATTTGGTGTTTTATGTACTATGACCCCAAACTTTTGATGGATAATCATAACATATAAGTAAATTGATGAGAATTATTAAACGACTATATTTACTAGTATATTATACTTTATACACCATTTATAAAGGCAATGAAAATTATTAAAAGTTTTTAAACTTAACTTCTCAACAAATTCAATTTAGCACTTTCCACACATCAAACAAAAATAATAGTGCTGTCAAAATTAACAAAATTAAAATTATAAATTAGTCTAAATATTAAGTTAGTTGAAACTAAATTAAAATATTTTAAACATTAATTTTTAAGGGTATTTTTATTTTAAATTCTTGAGGATATTTTTTTAAGTTTTGCAAGTTTGATTTTATTTATATGAGGTTATAAAACTTAAATTTAAGGTTAATAATTTATATAATTCTTTAGGTGTAAAAAATGTAAATTTAAATCAATTTACTTTATGTTTTAACTACTAATTTTAGTTTTTTTAAAAACTAATTATATAATTTTTATAATTTATTTTTAATATTTTAAGACTCTAATTTTACTTAAATATTAATATTAATTATATATAAATAAATTTTTTATAATAAAATATTTAATACAGCAAAATTTCATGAACTTAACCGTAATTTAATAATCAAATTAGATGATATTTTGTCTAAATATTAATATAATTTAATTTATAAATTCAACAAAATTTTGAAATATATTAGCTAAAATAACATTTAAAAAATAGGAGCAATTACTTATTAGAAAGTTTTTTTAACTAACTAAAATATCTTTTCAAACTACATTTAAATCTTGTTTGGTGATAGAACATATTTTATTTATATTTTACTAACTTCCAAAACAGTATTCAAACTAAAGATTTGTTTCACAATCTCTTTTTCAATTTTCTTTGCTTCCATTTTCATTGTATCCAACAAAAGCCTGGTTGCATATATTTTATTTCAAATTTTGAACATCAGCTTCAACAGACTCTGGTTAGACTGAGGACATGGCCGAAAGCTCTTGGGCTGCGTCTCCACACAAGCCCGTGGTGGTTAGGGTCAAACGCAAACCCTCTCAATCTCCACTCGATGCTTTCTGTAAGCCTCTCTTTCTCTTTTCATCTTTCATTTGGGCTTTGCAATTCCTCATTTCGCCATGCCATTGTAGGGCTCGAAATTAATGAGAGGCCATTGAAGCGCCCTCTCTTGGATTTCCAAACGTTATCAATCTCCGATTCCGCCCTGAAGGGTACGCTACTCTTCTACTCTCAATTGTTTTTTCTTTTTGGTAGATTGCTTATGTTATATCGTGGTTGAATTGAACCTCCTCATACTTCCACTTTTTGTTTATGAGAATGGATTTTGTCATTTCATAAGGTAAGTAAATGTATCTATTAGAATGAACTGCCCTTAATAGCATTTAGTAGATGTTTTACCTAGTATATTATTTCCCAATTAATGAGGAGTTTAATATATATTTATTACTTTATTTGATAAATTTATGGATTTTGATATCATTATCTCTCTCCTCCATTCCCACCATGCCATGGGTATTTCTGGTGAGCTAAATTTATGATGTTTTGCTGTCACCGTAATTGGTAATATGAAGATGCTGATAATTGATAATACATGGCTGTGGGGACACCATTAGAAACCTGGTACCAGAACTGTAATTTTTTAATATCTCTCTGTACGTGACATTGATATGGGTATCACTGGAATATCAGTTAAGGAATAAATCATGTGCAAGTATAGAAGAAGAGGACAGAACAACAGAAAATACTAAAGACAATACAGATACTTCAAGGGACCTGTTTTCCCTTTCTCTGACCTTGGCCAATTCTTCTGTACCCTCTCTCCTCTCCCTTCCTCCCCTCTTATCCTGTTATTCAAACAAATTTGATTCCCTGCTTTACATGTCATGTGGACAGGCTGTTACTAATCCATTCCCTAAGCTGATTCTTACTTATTCTTCTTATTGAGCAATGAGCATGCAATTCCCTGCTACTGTTCCATTTCTTTCAGTGGTATATGAGACCAATCGACAAGACACTGAGTTGCTGAGGTATTTGATTACTCAGTAGATACAGGATACAAGATGATGTTACTTAGGGACTCATTAGCAGTTAGTGACAATATATTAGTTAGTTAGACTGAATTAATTAGTAGTTGGGCAGGTTGAGATTGTGGAAGAAATAAGGCATATTGCCCCTATCAATAAGAGGCAGGCAGAGAGAGAGAACATTGGGTCATTTGTGCAAGGGTTAGGGCCTTTAGGCACTGGGAGAGAAGAGGGTCTCTCAAATGCCCTGAAATGTACTAGAGAATAAAACACATTTTTTATCTTTTCTTCATCTATTTTCTCTATTGCTTTGTCTGTTTTGATTTAGTTCTATCATTGGTAACAAAGCTCTGATCTTGGAGCTAATTGAAGATGATTCCAAAGTTTGGTGGGAAGGAAGCCTATTGGTGGCTGATAATGTAGAAAGGTATTTTGTGGAGAAATGGATACTGGAAGAGAAGTTGTTGTGGGTTTGATTAGCCACGGAAGTTTGGGAAGTGCTTGCATGGTGGTATTGCTGGAAAGCAAGTAATCAAGATGCAACATGGAGGGATTTGGTGAAGGCAATGCTCAAGCAATTTCAGCCTGAATATGACCCATATTTGCTAGTTTGAGTTGAAGATGAGGGTTCTTTGGTGCAAGAAAGCAGAAAAGTTGAAAGTTTGGAGACCAAACGAACCAACAACTTGGAGGCCCAAAAAAAACACTGGAAAAACAATTGTCCAAGAAAAAGAACAAGAATCGTGGTTGCCAGAAATCTTGGAACTCTATAAGCAAATAGGAGGAAATCCAAAGGAAAAAGATTGCATTTTGGATCAAGAACCAGAATTGGGATAGTTCAAAAGATTAGAAAATGAGGTTGAAACAAAGAGATCAGTGGGTTCATCTTGGTCTGAAAAGACATTTATTTTTGAGAAGACCAGTGTATGGGACACAAAGAAAGGAAACAAAGACGACATCATATGGGTTGTGAAGATATGCGATGGGTGATCACAATCAAGTAAAAAAATATTGGGTCATGAGAAGATTGGTCAACTCACCCCCATCATTAGACCTCGATCTGTATAACCATGGCCCCATGGAGGTCTTGAATAGTTTGGTCAGCCCACTACCCTTGCTAAAATTGCAAAAGGTATTTTGTGTACGCGGACTGGGAGAGGCAGAGCCAAAGAAGGTGCTAACAGCAAAACTGGAAGTAGCCAAAAGCAGCAGCAGCACATGCCATCAATTTAAAAAAGTGCATTTCCCATGATCTGCAATTCTGTGTACCAGTGCAGTCACTGGAATTAGACAACAATTGCATTTTGTGTACGCAGACTGGGAGAGGCAGAGCCAAAGAAGGTGCTAACAGCAAAACTGGAAGTAGCCAAAAGCAGCAGTAGCACATGCCATCAATGAAAAAAAGTGCATTTCCCATATTACAGCTCTTGATCTGCAATCCTGTGTACCAGTGCAGTCAGGGGAATTAGACAACAATTGCAGCTGTGATGATGCTGTTTCATGTCTAAAAAAAATGGAAGAAACGAGCATTAGAGGAGCATGGAACTGGAGGTACTTATTTATTTGTTTTTGACCCAGGAGGACTGAGCTATTTTTGGGCTGCAGGGTGTAGTTGGCTTGATCATCATGCATCAATTAGTTGGAACTCCAATGGAACTTTCTTTGCAGTTGCCACAGCTGCCTTGAGGACAAGGTGAAACTTTAGGGGGGAGTGTTGTTAGGTAAATCTTATTTGTAATTAGTTATGATATGTTAGTTACAATATATTAGTTAATTAGACTGACGTAATTAGTAATTGGGTAGGTTGAGATTGTAGACGAAATAAGGCATATTGCCCCTCTAAAAAGAAGGGGCAGAGAGAGGGATCATTGGGTAATTTGTGAAAGCTTTAGGGCCTTAAGGCATTGGGAGAGTGATAGCGATAAGCCCATGATGAAAAGAGTATATTATAGGAAAAGGAAGAGTGGGCCAGTTGATATTAAGACCCAACCTAGAGAAACAATCAGTTAGCTCATAATTAGGAAGCAGTTAGGAGGCAGTTACAAGGGATGGTTGTTATAAAGGTCAGAGTTAGGAGAATTGAAGTGTCTTTTTGTAAGGGAATTAGTCTGTGTAGGACAGGTGTCAGGATCTCTCAAATATTTCTGGCATTTATGATAACAGTCTGCACTTACATTGGGCACAGAACTGTGTTCATTCTTAGTAATACTATTCAATCTTTCTTTCTTTTTCCTTGCTGTATCAATTCTAACAGAGAGAAAGGGTCTATTGAATACCCTGAGTTGTACTAGAGAATAATACACATTTTGTCCCTTTTTTTCTCCATGGATTTTCTCTATTGCTTTCTCTATTTTGATCTAGTTCTATCAGCATCATAGCAAGCATCCACAATCAGAGATATGGTTGAGAAGATAGTGCTTTTGCTTTATTGTGTTTAAGAAGTTTTTTTCAAGTGTTAAAGTAATTATATATAATAAATTTATAGTGTGTTTAAAAAATACCCCCAGTAATAAATAGTCAAATTGATAATTCATATATTAAATGATTGAATATACTCACTTATATGGGTAATGGGTGATTGTCTTGTTAATACAAATCTCTCAATAAATAAGGGCATAGAAAGAATTTAGCAATTAATACATCTGAAAATGGGTCTTTGTTTCTTGTATTTTGGACCAAAAAAATAGTGGTAGTTGTTTCTGATAAATATGACTGCAGGGAGTAATATTTTTTGTCCTATCATGTGGATTTCTATTGATTAATAACATTTATTTTTGTATTTAAGAAAAATAGAAAACAAAGCTGTCAAAATAAGGTTGTCAAATAATTCACATGGAGCAAATGCCTATAAATAAGACTTGCTAGAGTTGAGATGATTGGTGACAGAATAAAGTGCTAAAAACTGCTGGAATTGTTTTCATTGAATGTGTTTTAATATTTATGCTTGATTCCTGATAAAATGTCTCCATTCTTTAGTGGAATTGCATAACAAGAAGGTTTTTGTGCAACACGTGGAAACAATAAGCAGCTCTGAGGTGACCTTTGACATTATTCAATCCTTTGTGGTCAGTTTCCCTTCTAGACAACGGTGACCAATTCTTTCTCCTTATGATAAAGAGTAGCATCATTATCTGTGTTATTTTAAATTATGCTCTCGTCTATGGTCACCATGTTCTCCATTTGCAATGTCTTTTCATTTTCAGTGTATTGAGAGTTGGTCTTTCCAATAGGTGACAATTTTTAATAATCAACTGTGTTTTGATAAACTGGATACAAAAGTTCTTATCGGTTGACTGCTTTTAGGATCCTGGCTCCAGTGGTGCACCTGATACTAGGTCAAAAATTGAGGAAAGAAAGAACATCTTCAAAAAGGATAATGTAAGCCCTTTTTTCTTCACTTCCCCCTCCATCTGCTTTTGCGCAGAATCACAGACTTAGATGTGCTTGTGCAGTTCTAAGTTACAGCCTCCAAATAGGAATAGTTACAGCCTCCAGTTGTTTGTTTGTTAACTTCACATTTCTAATCATATTTTCTTTCTAAATTTCCTACTTTTAATGTCTGCAGAAACAAGATCAGCTATTGTCTAAAGCTAAACAAGAAAAGGAGGTTTGTTACATGGCTTATATTACTTGTATTTATGTATGTGCATATATTTGGATGCCCATAATACTGTCTTAAGTGATGACATTATATACTTGTATCTTTGACCTATTGAAAATTGTATTGAAGTATCATCTGTATATACATGAACATGTCCTTGTGTTGTTTCTCTTATTTCCTTTGTATTACTTCCATCTTACAACCCTCTCTGAAATTTTGTCTATTGCTGTGATTGGTTTTGGAACTGTTCCTTTTTTGTATTCTTTTTCGTCATTTGTTCTGCAGAATTGCATTTCATTTGATTTTCCTAGTTGCTTTCAACAATATTATGTTGTCCTAAAACTAAAGAACTTAATGTATAGGACAAGTTGTTGCTCATCTATTTTGGGTTATTTTCAAAATCAGATCTAGGTTATTCTGAGTCCTGTTCTAAAGCAATTGAAATTTTTTATATGGATATTGGATAATATGTATTCAAGTAATTACTTAAAAGTAAATTGTTTCCTTCATTAAGAAAAATAACCTAGTGTCTGAGATGATAAGATTACAGAAGCTAAACTTTTAAGCTCATATTAACATGATTTGGGAGAATTCTATAATTATTTCTTGTGCTTCTAGATTAAGTACATGATTTGCCTTTTTGTTTGAATTATCTAAGTCAGGGGTTTGTGCTGCCCCCCTCCCCATCGATATTCTGAAATTATCTCTTCTGTTATAATCTCTCCTCAAACATGTTGCGTTATCTATCTCAATTGACTATTGAACTAAACTTGATCCCTTATGACAATTATAATGCATATTGCCAAATTAAACAATCTTGAATTGAATTGGATTGGATACAACAAAAACAATAGAATTATTAGGACAAAAATAGTAATTGAGACCAAAAAAATAATAAAAGCAAAATAGAATAAAAATGGAAGATGGCGCCATAATCGCAAAATTGATAAGTTAAAAGAATGATCATCACGAGAGTCTTAGTCTCTGGATAAGATCAAGAAAAATTGGTTCACTCAAGAACTTAAAATCACACGTTCTCATAAGAGTTTTCAATCTCAAATTGCATTCAAAACTAATTAAAAGTATGTTTACAAGAGTTTATATATGTCTAACTCTCATAAATCAATACAAACACAACTCTAATGGGTTTCTTGTGCTAACAAACCCAAATTCAAATAGACTGAATAAAACAACAATTTTTTTTTATCCTACATAAAAGCTCAAAGTAATTAATGACTAACATTAAAATAACTAAACTAAACATAATAATTAAATCTTAATGGGACTCATTGGAGTCTAAGTTCTTTAAGCATATGCAATTAACTATCTTGTGTTTTTTTAACTCTGAATTAGGTCTACTTTTAAATAGGACAGCAATTATCTTCTCTAGGTTTTTCTTTATCCTCTTTGTCTTTACTCTTGTCATTGGATCTTAAAGCCCCTCTAATGCCTTCAAGCCTTCATCTTAAATGGCTTTTCTTTGATTCTCATCAATCCCCTATTGCAACTCGTATAACTTGGCATTTTCATTCTGAATCACCAACTGATCTGCTTGAATTGTAACTATTCAATAAGATTCTTGTTTGAGATTGACTGTTGATTCTTACATAATCTAACCTTTTAACAGGTTGCATTTTGTTAGAAATATTTGTTTGGAAGTGAATTAATATGCCACATCTTTTCTTATGAACACGGGAATACTTTTTTGTTAGGAGTACACATATTTCAATTCTATAATTCATAAGAAGTACTCTGCTTTGGAGTACAGCCCAAACAATGAAATGATGTTTTAAAAGGTTACCTTGTGGCATAAATATGTCTCTTTGTTTTTTTTCTCAGTCTTTGGCAAAAGAGGCTCGCTTTGAACAAATATGGAAGAGGAGAAAGGGAAACAAAGGGACAGCTCATGAAAAAGCATTACAAGAAATATGCCATTTCTATGACATTGTTCGAGTTGACTATGAAGGAAAAAATAAGGAGGTTCAACAGGAGTAAGTATTTCCATCAGAGTTATTGTCTTCATATGTTTTGACAATTACAATGTAAAACCAATTTTCGTGTTATTAATGCAGGGAAATGTCCTTGGACGATCAAAGACTTTTATCTAGTTACCTCCCTTTACTGCGAGAGTTTATTCCTAATGCTGCTGCAGAGGTTGAAGCTGATTTGCTTGTTCATTTGGTTACTCATTCCAAAGAAGGTTATTGTTTAGTTGCAAACTTCCATTAAAATGTTACTGTTCTTGCTACATTTTGCGCAAGTTGCTGTTACTTTATTTAAATAATTGACTAACAAACACATTTTTGTTGAATATAAAAAAAATATTTTGGATTTATCTTGTGACATATTTTCGATGTCATTGACTCCAATAAATGCTTAGAAAGTAGAATCAGTGCTGACTATTCTCTTTTTTAAAAACTGTTTCAATTTAAATGGTTATGATGCATTGTCTTATTTGACATACAGAGACAGAGGATTACGTGTATGACCTCTACACTGTGAAGGATGAGATGGACATAAACGTTGATGATTTATCACATTCTTATCCACTGTGAGTGTTTTGTCTATGCATCTTTAATTAGCTTTCTTATTCTTCTTGACACTGTTATGTATCTTTGTCTCAGAGTTCAAGTTGATGAGGAAGATTACTACGATGGGCCAGATGATTCAGATTATGAAACTGATGACTCAAATGGTATTTGATATTTTTTTCCCTCATCATTATCCCTTAATGCAAATCGCAAATGGTTAAAAATTCATTTACATTTGTCGGTTATAGATGAAAACAATCCACTGAATGATTATCCGGATGAGATTTCTGAAGAGGATGAAGGGGTTAAAGAATCCGAGTGTGAATCAGAAGAAAGCGAACATGATACTGCTAGTAGCAAATCATCAGATGAGGATCTAGAGCATCACGATCTTTCCAAAGATAATACTGATCCATTATATGATGAGGATTTTGATGATTATGAAGGTGTAGGAAATGATGATGTTGAGGACGTGGATGATGAAGATTTTAGGTGGTCTTGTCGATGAAGTAGGCTTTAGTTTTATATTGGAAGAATGTTAGAACTACAAGGAAAGGTTGTACGAACAAAAATCAAACCTATTGTTCCGGGCTATCAGACTAGACCAGATAGAGTTTTTGCTGTTAGGATATTTACATGCATCCTAATTTAGATTCTTATTTTTTAAAATAAAATCTGATGCATCAAAACTAATTTAATTGTGCTACTTTTTGCGAATTAATATTTGAATCTTAAATGAACAGTAATTAAGTAAAAAATTAGTTTTACTAGGATTTTTATTTGTGAAAAAAATGAGACCTTACTTGTTTTATAGTAATTTTAATTTAATTTTATCTATGAATAAAGAGGGACAAATTTGGAGAACGAAGTTATGAATTTTTGTTATAAATTGAAATTATTTATTGACTTTTTTTTAAGCGGTAACATAATAACAATGAGATTTGTAACAGTTATTTAAGGTTTGAACTTTTAACTGTTGCTGACTATTCTAACGTGCAATTGGTCTCACTCAATTGTTTTTCCATAATTGAAGAAGTGTAATACAAATATCAATTAAAATGACAAAGGAGATAAACAATAATAGTTTAGATCTTAATAAAAATTAGATCTTGTAGCAAGGAACTTCAATATTTAAAGTGAGAATCCTTAGACGCTCCGAGAAAAATTATAAGGTAAACTTAAAAAATATTTTATTATGTAATAGATAATTACAATATCCTTTTTGTCTTCTCTGTATAAAAGACACGAAATATATTGTTTTCCAGAGAAAACCACTCCTAATAAAATGCTTCAAATTTTGCGTTACCAAGGAATTATAAAAGTGATACCTAAGTATATTTTTCTTATATACTCTCAGGTTTTGTGAATACCTTATTTTCTCTCACTTTAACTTTTTGTTTTTCTTCGAAAAGCTTTATTTTACTTTCACTTAATAAAGTCCTTCATTTGCCATTGTCTTTTTTATAAAGGCAATGTCAACTCATCCAGACAATGTGGCATCATAGCTGCACATAGGCATGCAAGTCCTTCATTTTCACGTTTAATGCATGATAAAAATTTTGCCTTGGTTGGACCCTATGATTCTCTCCCTCTAGTCAAAAGGGATATATTTCCTCCATTGTGATGTTTAGTGCCACATCCAAAACAACTTCAAGACTGAGGACAATGTGATATCCTCAAGACCACTTCCTGATTGTCGAATCACCACCATAAGGTACCTATTTTCGTTCCTTATGTCATGAGCTTTCCCACAACGTTCTCTGATCATTCATCCCATGCCATTTGGATCTTCGTTTTGTTGCTTGTTGTTAAGTTACCCGTTTACATTTGACTCTCTCTTTCTTGTTCTTTCAAGCTTGAGCTAGCGTATCACTTTTTCTTCTTCAATTCTCAGATTTGTACCTTGATGTGAAAGATTCACGAGACAAGTTTTTGTGATTGTTAGGATATTTGTGGGTTTTGCCAATAGAAATGAAGAGTATGATTTGGATCAAAATTAAAGTGGAGTTATCTTCATCTTCAACTGACTAAGCCCCTTTTAAAGTGAGGGGAAGACTTTTATAGAACTGTTAGAGATTGAAAGAATAGATTAGAATATATTTGCTTAAATTTCTTATGTTCTATTTAGTTTGGAAATTCTTGCTCTCTCAAGTTTACAGTAATTTTGTATTCAAGGTTGCTGTGTGTTTGCATGTGACTAAATTTGTTATTTTGGTGCTTGAATGTGTTTGTTTGATCTATTCTCATAGTTGAATAGTTAAATGAATGAGTTTATGACATTTTAGGTAAGCTTTCAATTTTTTCAAATGAATGTTTGATTTTTGAAAAGTTGTTTTAGTTTAGCGCTAATGAAGTGGATTGATTAGTAAATCTTATGAAGATCTAAAAGTTTTTAGAAGATTTTTTTTTTTTTTTTGTCTCTAGTATATTCCTATAAAATTTTACTATTTTTTTAAAATTTCTATGATTTATACTATTTTTCTAAGATAATATGAAATAAAGTGGTTGAAAACAATAAAAAGAGTTTGAATTTATTTTTAAAATATTTTTACAAGATTTTTAAAGGTAACCCTCTTAAAATGTTAAAGAGAATAAATCTTGGATGAAGAACATACAATGTTTTTATATTTATTCAATCTTAAAGCAATGTATTATTTTATTCTTTAAGTTTAACTAAACAAAACACTTTTCAATTATCATTCCATCTTTTTAGGATTTAGGATTTAGGGTATTGAATGATGAACATGCAATATTTTTATATTTATTCAGTTTTAAAGCAATGAATTATTTTTAGTCTTTAACCTTAATCAAATAAAAACTTTTCAATTATGTTGACATACTATCTATACAAGAAAGAAAAATTTGTACACAGAAAATAAAATGACTGCCTTTACGTCATTGTATGTTCTTATACTTACTTTTTATACGGAGGTCCCTTCATTTTATTGAAAATTTAATCATAATTTTAGTTAAAAACTACCATATATTTGTTTGGCTTGACGAACTTATTTGCTAAAATGTTATCTTATAGGCACAAGAATGAAAAGAGAAAATGTGTTTTTGTCTTTTATAAATAAATATAATATTGCTCTTTTTGGATGAAAGTTATATGTCCATGGTCAAACTCTTCATGTTTTAGTTTCTCTAATTTAAAAAGTTTCAAGCTTTATACTAATAGTTTTCTTATTCGATTGACTAGATTTTGAGCCAGTCTTTGCATTCAAATGGTGTCTTAAATCTATCTTGCCATATGTATCATCTTCTAAAAGTCTTACATCACAATTAATTTATCATCTAATAGATGATGTAGCTTTGACTACATACTTGGCTATATTGCCTTGTAAATGCTTCTTAAAAACTTGAACAAACATATTAGTAATACAAAACATTTCATCTCAAATAAAAAGTTTTTCATTTATCAAAACTTAGACTGTCAATTAATCTTTAGAAATTCTGCTTTAACACAATAAATTCAACTTTGACTTGTAGCAAAAAGTTTCCATTTTGACCAACCTAAGGACCATAATAAAATCTAACAAAAGCACATTTTGATATAAAAAAAACACATAGATATTTAATTCTAGACACTTTCATGAAAAGTTATGCTTATTTGGTTTAAGAGAAAAATTAAATAGTTGACAAGTTAGTAAACTTTGTGACACCTTTCTAGAACTAACAAGGAGAATGTTAAAATTGTAGTTAAGCAATCTAATTAGAACCTTATTATCAAGTTCAATACTACTCTACAAAGTTTAACTACATATTTTAAAACCTTCTATAATTTTATGAAAATTATCTACAATTTGGCCTTACAATAGTAAATAAATCTTATCTTTGTACAAGTGATATGAGTTGATTGATGCTACTTACCTGCATTAGCAAATAAATCTTGACAAGTGCATCAATCATTTAATTGAATATTGTATAATTTCCACAAAGATTGGATCAGACTATCAACAGGGTCCTCTTTGATCTTCTATTTGAGCTTATAATGCAGAGGAATATCGTGTTATAAAAAATTTAAAGATAAATGTAGTAAAATATTTTTGGTGTTTTGTAACTATATGGACAAAGACACAAGATAGACAATTCATTAAAAATCAATTAACAAAAGTGATTAAGATTTAAATTCTTTCTATTATCCTATTTACTTCATACTCGGCAAAGAAAATTAGTTTCTCTAGTTTAAAATCAACTTCAATGTCTTGGTTGAAAATTCTGTGAAATTAATTAAAATTGCCTAATGTCTTTGGCAAACCATATTAAAATCAACTTCAATGTCTTGGTTGAGACACCGATCTTGGCATTGGAACGCTTTGATGTCAATGCATTGCGATCCTGATAGCTGATAGCTTCAAAGCGATGGAATGTCTGTTAGTCCCACATCGGTGGGAGTTCAATTAGGAGGACCTCCTGTGGCTTATAAAAGGAGGCTTAAGGGTTACTTAAGCATCATCCCAAAATCTTCTCTTTCCCTTTCATTTTGTATTACACCGAGCTTGTACTTGGTAGTAATAGCCTCCTATTTTGAGGAGTAAATTTTAGAGTGAGAAGTAGTGTAATTTTTCTTCTGTGATAATTTTATATTGTCTTTGTTGGCTCTTATTTTTCATCTCTTATTTTAGTTGTGTGTTATTATACTGATACTCTGGTCCCAACAGTGGTATCAGAGCTATTGGTTAGTTTATTCCGCTGCTATTGTCATTAGAATAGTGTTGGTAAAATTCTGAGTATGCTCTGTGATTGCGGTTTAATCCGATCTTTCACATCAAAAAAGAGTTGTTACTGGAAAAGTTTGGTAGTGTGAAACTGCTATCTGAGAAAGTTCTGGCTAGGAAAGATTTGGTATTTAAGAGTGTCTATAGTGACCCACCTCTCTTTCCTGGGAATTTTTTTGGTGTGTTAGTTCATGGTCTACCTGTGTTATTCCAGTAGACAATACTATTCATAGTGAGAAGTGCATAAGTCGGTATAATAAAGAGAGAAAATATGGCAGCAAAATATGAGATAGAGAAATTTAATGGGAGTAATTTCTCCCTGTGGAAATTGAAGATAAGAGCAATTTTGAGAAAAGACAATTGTCTTGATGCAATTGAAGGCAGACCTGCAGATATTTCAGAAGAAAAATGGAGAGAAATGGATAATAATGCTGTTGCCAATTTGCACTTAGCATTAGCTGATTCAGTGTTATCCAGTGTTGCAGAGAAGAAGACTGCAAAGGAGATTTGGGACACACTGATCAAGTTGTACGAGGTCAAGTCACTTCACATCACACCAGAATATTCTTGAAGAGGAAACTCTACACTCTTCGAATGAGTGAGTCCACATCAGTAACGAACCACATCAACAATTTGAATACGCTATTTGCTCAGCTTACAGCCGCAGATTTCAACATAGTAGAAAATGAACGTGCGGAGCTTCTACTCCAGAGTTTACTAGATTCATATGATCAACTCATCATCAATATAACAAACAACAACATTATCGGTCGTCTATCCTTTGATGATGTTGTTGGAGCAGTTCTTGAAGAAGAATCCAGGAGAAAGAATAAAGAAGATAGACTGGAAAATTCTAAACAGGCAAAAGCATTGATGATGATGAGAGGAAGATCAATGGAACGTGGTTCCAGTGGGAGCCAGAATCATGGTAGATCAAAATCTCAGAGAAGGAAGAACCTCAAATGCTACAAC